GAGATAGTGAGGTTAAGTTTGATAGCCTAAATCGTTTGATAATAACAATAAGCTTGTCTTCTGGATGGTTAACAACCTAAGTTTGCAGACCAATGCCAGACAATGGAAACAAATGAGGAAACAGTACACATAAGGTTGATATGTTCTGCAATCATTCCAATTTATATTTAAAGGTGGCCCTGATGTTGAGTACCTATACTTTCAGTCAGCCTGGGTGACAGAATAAAGCCCTATCTCGAAAGCAATTTAAAATTATATATGTGAAGTGTTTTTAATTAAATGGGGAAAATGTTATGTTAACATGATAAACCATGAACTGTAAGAAGGCATGGTCTGACAAGAAGCTCAGTGGACTACACGCCTGCTTAGGTAAGCCCACGGAGCAGGATTGATTCCTGGTACTACATGTATCACTGGCTCAAGTCTGGGCAATCCCACTGCTGGGGAGGTTTTAACAGGAGGATCACAGTGAATCTGAGCTGCATAGTGAGACTTGGTACCAAATACATTAAAAAATAAAGAGGGGCAGCAAGATAGCTCAGCAAACTAAAGTGCCTACTTAGGTGGGAGCAGGGACCTGGGTTGATCCCCAACATGCTGTGCTGGCTCCATACCCAGGATGTGCTGAGACAGACTGAGACTGGATGTGATGGTGCAAGCCTGTAATCCCACTGCTCGGAGGATGAAAACAAGAGGATCACTATGAGTCCAATCTGTGTAGTGAGACCCTGTAGACCTTTTACTAAATACAAAAAAAGAACAGTAAAAATATGTACAATTCCAAAATAGACATCTAGTGAGGCCTTCTGGGAGAGTCAAGCATCTTTGCTGCTTCTGGGCATGAACTTTGCCTGAAATAGTTGGCCTGTGAAGTCAGAAGCTCCCCATCACCACCACCACCACCTGGCCAGTTGCTCAAATTCCAGAGAGGTCAGGAGTGTAGGACCCATCCCAGGCATGCAGGTTAATGCTGGTGTGAGTTAAGGTTAATTCTAGTCACTTATAACCAAGTCTTCCCTAATGATGGCAGCTAGAGTGCTATGTGTTCCCCTCACTCTGCAGAAGTGGAAAGTCTGGGTCAGGGACAGAATCACTCATATCTTTCTGTCTTGCTTCTCTGCTGTATTTGGTGCCTCCTGGCCCAGTTGATAAGCAGGAGAAGGAAAGACAGAAATATCTTCCTCCACCTCGCCCCATACTGACACACATGTAAGCAAGCCACCCGGAGTCCCTTCAGTACCCATAGTAAAATTGTCATGGAGGTAATTGTGGGTGGCATGGTGCAGGGAAGGAAAAAAATCTAGTTGTTTTTAAGAGATAATTTCTTACCTTTTCACTAGCTGTGACAGTGTCTTCACATCTGAAACTCTAACTTCACTTTCATTCAAATGGCTTTTCAAGCTTGTGATTGAGATTTTAAGTTCCTCTATATCTCTTTGACTCTCCTTCATGCGATCTATTTCTTTCCTATATTGCTTATTCAAGGCTTCCATCTTTTTTCTATACTCTTCTAATTTTTTTTATCATTGTCTTCTTCAAAAGTAGTTATTAATTCTTTCATTATACTTATCCTTTCTTTTTTTACTTCAGATAGTATTTCTGATCTGATTTCTTCTATATGTTTCTGCAGTTGATTCATTACTCCAGATGATATTAATTCACAGATTTTTTTTCTTCTTTCAGAAGTTATTTCCGCTCTGATTTCCTCTATGCCTTTCTGCACTTGTTTCTTTACTTCAGATCTTATTAATTCAAACATTTCAGGTGTGTGATTCCCAATTTCTTCTGTGCTAGTGTCTCCTGCATTTGTTCTGGGTGGGCTCACGGGCCTGAGATTGCACTTTGCTTCTTCTCTTGGTCATGCAGGAAAAAAATAATTCATCTCTGCAAGACAATGCAATGATGAACCATGTAAAACTAATAGGCATCATTGTGAAAGGAGTCAATACAAATGATATGAAAAGAATATGGGCCGAAGAAAACTTCCCAAATATGGGGAAACAATCAGACATTCAGGTAACTGAATCATATAGAATGCCAAATAACATCAACTGAACTAAAAACACACCCAGACACATAATAGTCAAGATCCCAGGGGGGCCTGCCCATTAGCTCAGGTGTTTAAGTGCCTGCTGAAACAAAGCAGTCAGGCTCAGGATGCTGTGGTTCGATCCCCTCATCCTCAAGCCAAACCAAACCTGCACTGAAGACATCCTGAGTGGCAAAAAAAAAAAAAAAAAAAAAAAAAATCCTTCTGCCATTTGGAGCCTGGGGAGATAACTCTGTAGAATAAGTGCTTGCCCAGCATGTGCAAGATCCTGAGTTCAATCCCCGGTGTTGCAAAAAGAAAGAAAGAAAGAAAAAAAAACCCTGATCCTTTTGTTCATGAGCATGATGACTGGGTGTTCATGCATAATGTATGAGATGTGCCTCCCTCAAACCTTGTTACAACATGGGCACATTACCGATCTGACATGAAAAGAAAAAAAAATGAAAAAAAAATCACAGAAATTCAGCACAAGAACAATGTACTAAAAGCTTCTGGAGAAAAGAAACAGATCACATTTAAAGGAAAACACATCAGAATAATGGCAGACTTTTCTTCACAAACCATGAAGTCAAGAAGAGCATGGAGCAGAATACTTCAAGTCTCTATGAAAACAAATTCCAGCCCAGACTACTATATCCTGCAAAACTCTTTCAAGTTTGATGGCAAAGTGAAATACTTCCATTACAGAGAACAACTAAAGAATTTCATGATGACAAAGCCAATCCTACACAGGCTACTAAAAGATATTCTAGAGAGGGACCAAAATGGCCAGAACTTCATGAATGAGAACAAAAAGAAATCAGCAAATAGGGCAAACAATTAAACAGGAGAAAAAGTGATAAACAGCAGCAGGTAAATAACATGTCAATCATAAGTCAATACAGGTTGTTTCCATAGTGTAGTGGTTATTTGCCTGACATAAGTCAATATTTCTCAATTATAACCATCAATGTAAATGGACTCAATTCACCAAGTAAAAGAAATAGACTGGCAGCATGGGTTGGGAAGCAAAAGCCACCAATCTGCTGCATACAAGAAACACACTTAACTCATAAAGAAATTCATAGACTGAAAGTCAAGGGGTGGAAAACAATACTACATGCCCCAGCACCTCAGAAAAAGGCAGGGATAGCAACTCTTTTCACAGACAGTCTCAACTTCAAAGCAAGAATGATCAAACGAAATAAAGAAGGCCACTACATATTGGTTAGTGGAAAAATTCAAGAGGAAGAGGTAACACTCATAAATATGTGTTTACCAAACACGGGAACATCCAACTATATAAGACAAATCTTAATGGACATGAAAAATCTAATATTCTATACCACAGTCTTAACAGGAGACCTTAACACTCCTTTATCCCAGAAAGATAGGTCAAACAGACAAAAAATTAGCAAAGAAGTAGCAGAACTGAACCAGAACTTTGAAGAAATGGACTTAGTGGGTATATACAGAGTGTTCACCCAAACACAGCTCAATACACATTTTTTTCAGTGCACATGGGTCATTTTCTAAAATAGACCACATACTAGTCCATAGGTCATGCTTAAGTATATGCAAGAAAACAGAAATTATCCCATGCATATTATCTGACTACAGTGCAATGAAACTGAAAGTAAATGACAAAAGAAACAAGAAAAAACCCATAAATACATGGAAATTAAATAACACCCTCCTCAGCAACCAATGGGTCACAGATGAAATTAAAGAAGAAATTGAACAATATCTACAATTCAAGGAAAATTCAAGCACAACTTATTGGAATTTATGGGATGCAATGACACATTCGTTAAGATGGTTTTTCTTTTTTTTTTTTTTTTTTTTTTTTCTGGAGTGAACTCAGGACATTGCACTTGCCAGGCAAGGGCTTATTCTACTGAGTTATCTCCCTGGCCCAAAA